TTATTCTGAAAGAGAATTCATTTATTTAAAACATTTTTACCCCACCTTTCTCCTTAAAAAAGGGCCCGAGGTGGCCTACATCATTAAAAGACAGATATTAAAGCTAAAAATATGAAATATGCAGACACTCAAAAGGATCAGACGGATACCATGCTAAAAAGCATCAGCCAAAAACCCATTCAAAGCTGAGTAACAGGGAGGGGGGGCTTTTTCACTCTACAAACCTCCCCTCCCTACCGTCTCTCCACATTTCTGCTGCCTGTAGCCCCAGTTTTGACTTTATTCAAAGATGTTGTCCTTTTGAGGCTGTTTCGGGGCATATAACAAAAGCAGGAGCAAATTAAAAAAAATGTATTCTGGATACCTCTGAGACTGAATGGCATTTCTTTCCGTGTGAGTTTCTTTCTCTTTAGAGGCGCTTATAGGAACCGGGCCAACGTTTATGCCGATTTCGAGCAAACGTCAACCAAACGGAGGAAGGAGACCCGAGTGACACAGATGGGCAAGACTCAGAAACAGCCGCAAAACCCTGACATTGACCAGATCGGTCAATATCTGTGCGGAGATATGGCTGTGACTCCCTTGGAAGTGGGGGTTCAAGATCCCCAGGGGACAAGGAAGCCCATTTTGAGGCAAGGGGGGGGAAGCAGGGCCCCTAAGAAGGGGAGCTACAAGCCCCCCAAAGGGGTCACCGCCCAAGAAAGGGGTCAAAAGGAGGTGGGGGGGTTGTGCCCCCTGCCCACCAGCCGGGGAGATCCGGAGGCCTCTGGCGGCACTTTCCGGTGAGCGAGAGCGAGGCCAGAGGCCCCCGTCCGGCAACCTGGAGCGGCTCCTGGACGACTCGGGTTGTCCCCTTGGAATGGGAGTGGACGCTAGCCTCGGCTCCCCAGGGGTCAGGGGGAGGAGGAGACCCCGGGGCCTGTCTGGGGGGTTCTTGTCTGAAATCAGGGCCACGGAGGAGGGCAAGCGCTGGGGGAAAAAATACAGGTGCACTCTCTCCGTCTTGAAAGGAGAAGACCTGTCTGGGGCACGGAGGAGGGCAAGCGCTGGGGGAAAAATACAGATACACTCTCTCCGTCTTGAAAGCCTTCGTCCCGCTGGGGATGTTGGAAACGTGTGAAGGCAGGAGTCTTATCCTTCCCCCTGGAAAAAACTAAGATCTCTTGAGTGGTTTTCATACAGGGGTGTGTGTGTGTTCTCTGGAGAGGTTCGGGGGGGGGACTTTTGTCCTGGGTTCAGGGGACCTGCTGTCACCCCCATTTCAACGGTCCACCTTTCGGCCTGGCAACCCTGCCGGGGGTTGTAAGCCTCTCCCAAGCCCTGCACAAAATGGCTGCTCGGGTGATCTGGTTCAGGAGGATGTGGTCCTGACTGGTCCATGCTGGGTTGCTGTGGAAGGGGGCCCGGGTTTCCAGTCTGACCCCCCCTCCCAGCACTCTCCCGCAGGACCCAAAGGGTTGTGGGCTTCTCCAGACCAGCCAAGGGACACTTTCCTCTTCAAATCATTAAAAATAACCCGTTCCTGTTCATGCTAGGAGTATTAACGGCAGTATCCGTGGTGCTGGGCCGTACCGCTCCTTCCGTGTAACGTGGCATTCTGCAAAGAAGGAAGGATGATGGACCCCAAATCATCAAACTTGCAGCCTAAGGAGGCTGGATCCACAGTCCATGTGTGTGTGTGTGTGTAGAAACGGAACAATATATATCTTTATTTATTTAGTCCATTTTTATACCTCCCGTCTTTTGTTTTTATGATTCTCTACCAAAATCATAAAAACGCATCCCAAAATATAAAGATCGAAGGGGTGGGCGGAAGGCAGGAAGAAATGGTTTGATGGCCACCTAGAGTGGTCCTGACCCGATCAGATAGGCGGGATATAAATTAATTAAATAAATAAAGAAGAATCCCTTTTTTCCCCCTTTTCCACACATTTGGTTGAGGAGGAGAACCTGACTCAAAGACTTCCTTGGAAAGTCAATTTTTTGCGTGTTGTTTTTTAAGTCACAGAAGAAAGGCACCATCTGACCAAAATTAAAATTAAAAACACAACACATTGCATATTAAAAAGCCATCATCATCATACATCAAACAACAGGGAGTCAGCATCTCTCTAATGGTGTAGAAAGTGCCAGCTGTGGGGTTAAGTCTTGTGGCGTCCGTTTTAGGAAGGGCTCCGGAGAAGCGATGCCCACCGAGAAGGGAGACCTGGGTCTAGGATTTGAGGCCCAAGTTTTGGATTCCCACGGACGGGTGGGGTGCGTGTGTGTGTCAGGGGGTGGTCACGGGGGGGGGTGTCGCTATGGCCACCAGTCCTTTCTGCGTGTCGTTTTGCTGACCCTGCAGAATCCGTGCAGTCTCATAGGTATAGAGGGATGGACAGAGGGATGCTCTTTCCAAATCCCCGAGGAAGTGGCAGGCGGTGGTCGAGGAAAGCTTGCAAAGTTTTTTTTTAAATTTAATCCAGGGAGAAAGAAGGGAAGAAAGCGGTGGGGGATCCATCCACGGCAAGAAACGTACCTTCTGGGCTGAGCCAGAGCTTTCTCGAGACAGGAAAACCCAACAGAAGCTCTTCTGACTCAAACCCAGAATTTTAGGAGGGATTTTCATAATGAAGCAAAAAAAAATATTTTAAAAAAAACCCACAAAATTTTGGGGCGCCAGACTGAAAGACTTGCTTCCAGACCCGGGAAAACGTTTCCTTTTTAAAAAAACACTTCAGTTCCCATTAGGCCCCCTGGGAGTCGTAATTCTCTCTCCCCCCCCCCTAAAATAAAGGAACGTGTCCGATGTCTGTTGCGTGGAGGGCCTAATTCACGTGTCTGTTTTCAAAACCCGCCACTGAGTCGCGGGACTCTTTGTTGTTTCCAGTAGTTCCCCCTTCTGGACTCTAGGGGGAGCCGTCACACGCAGCAAGGGAAAGCGGGCGCTTGGAGGCGGCGCTCCTCTACGGCCCGTGCAACTCTATGGTACCCTCCCTCGGCAC